AAACCCATTAACACTTTCGATATGATCTAACACAAAATAACCGAGGTATATCAAGTGAAAAAATACGAGTTGCTTCCCTTATCTTCGAGTAAAATTGATATCTCTTATGCTAAAACAAAACAAAATTTGCCGTTTTTTAACCGCAAGTTTGTTATGATTTAATGTCCGATTTTAAAATGTATTACACCAATAGAAAACACTGGATCTTAGCTTCGTCACAGTATATTTTTCAACATTTCTTTTGACTCCAAAGTCTTTAAATGAACTGTTAATCCTACCACATGTCAGACCATTATACATACGATTTATACAGTGAGAAAAACAACCTATTATCTTTATTCGTAAAACTACTGATAAGAAAGAAAAGCTTCTCCTCTGCTAGTTCTGAAAGTGTTTATCGGTGTATAATTTTACTATTACTTATTAGATATTTACAACACATTGAACAGCTTACTTATACTGTAGGTATATGAACATATAATATGCGGAAAGTCCGAGCGAGGCCGAAGGCTCCGCGAGGGCTGTAGCCCTCTTAGATAACATGTATGACGCGTATCAATTGAAATGAAATCAAATTAAAACTAAATGAAAATTTCAAAAAGATAAATATCCTATACCTAATGGGCTGTGAAAAAATCCTAAGTTAACAGGGCGCCGCCAGTTTGAAATCCTTTTGAGCTAAATATAGATATCAGAGTGCTTTTAATGAGCGTCTACATAATTCAGACTATTGCTAGCAGACGCATGCTAACGGCTAAAACACGGTATTTGTCCATTTTATATTTTTTGGTTGTTATACATAGATTGAAGGAAAGTGTGTGATTTCAAACTTAATTCTTTGCAGCCAAAGCATGTAACCTAGTCCACTCCTGCTGGCCTCCAAATTTCAAGTGAAAATATCAATTTGTATTCGAGTAACAGCAAAAAAACATATCCCAAAATTGGCCATTTTCAAGCGTTATGCTGTCTCATTTGATTTTTTTATATATTCAAACTGTTATATATCTATTTTGCATGATGATTTGAAAAAAAAAATTACCTCAGCTTATAGAAAATTTCAAGTGCTAAATTTTGGTGGGTAAATCAAGAAAATAGACAAATTATTACAGAAAATATGACTTATTAACATAAAGTGGTGCTTTTGCCAATTTTTCAAAATCACAATAAGTATCCCTTGTTATATGCATGAAAAACATTGAAAATTCACCCATTTACAAGTGATAACTGTTTTGTAAGACTGATTATTAATCAAACTTCCAATATTTTGTTGCTTTGGACATTCATGATTCACATTCTTAAAAAGAAGGAGGTTCACCTGTAAGATTTTCAGGGTTAAAAAATCTGTAGAGTCCGTAACCATGGGTTTGTATCTACATATGTATTAATGACAGAAATGTGGAATTCCACAAATAAAAACCTCTGTATGAGTATGTTAAATGGCTGAAATATTTTTGGAATATTTTGATTTTAAGTTGCATTTTTTTACATATTTAATGTTACGGACACTACAAAATCTGCCTTCAAATTTTGATTTGAAATTTCCATTGTTTTCAATAGCATATTTCCTTATATTTTTTCATGGTAAAAGCAATTTTTTTATTGTGCAATATTGCATCATCTTTTAACTATTGGAAAATACCAATAAAACGGCTGATGCAACAATATTTGTGATGAATTATTGCATCATCCAAAACAACCGCCTTTCTAAGAAATACAACAGTCCAGCTGTAATGATGGAATCAGCTAAGAAAATGGCTTATTTTGGGTAATAGTCGGTCAGATTCCAGCAAGAAGTCCTTTCAAATGGAAAACACTAAAGGTGTTGGTTCCAGTGATGCTCTAGGTATGTATTATCCTTATCTAAACATTCCATGCTATGTTACGTAGGGTCCGTAACCAAAACCATATGTCTGTACATGATGCCCTGATATAATGCAATTGTCCACATGAAATGCACATGTTGTGATGCTTATTTGTTGAAATTGCCATGCCCAACATATAACAAACTAAAATGGTCTTAACAGGTTGTTTAATGGAAATCCTATGACAGTATGACACACAATTTCATTTTGTGTAGCCTATTACGGAGCCGAGATGAAATATTTTTACATAAAGATTGGCGTGTATGCCAATGAATACAATCAGTGTTATAATATACAGATCACAGACACAGTGGATACTTGTTAAATGTACAGAATTGAAGCTTAAGTAATATTTGATTTGTACTTGTACTAAGGTTACAGACTCTACAAAATACGGCCACTTGTTTCTAAGTCTACTGTAAGTATGTTCAAAAACATTTTTATGAACAGAAACAATACAATTGAACCATATAGGGACATTTATACCTTTTGAGGTTTTTCTTTTCCCAAAACCTGTCTTTATATGAAGATTTATATACCATATATATTAATATTCTAAGGTATACATTGAACCCAACCGTTTAAGGTTAATTAATATTCAGAATGTTTTTTTACAGAAGAGAGCCAAAAATCATCACTGCGATCCCGGAAACTTGAAAAAAAAAAATGCTGAAATGAATGAAGACATAGAAAAGAAGCAAAGGGAGAAAAACAGGCTGAAAGTCAAGGCATGGAGAATGCGTCAGAAAACAGAAAACTCCACAAAATATTCTGAAATCAAAAAGAAAGACACAGAAAGAAAGAAGGAAGCTCGAATGAAAGTGAAACTCATGGCCAATTCAGATCCTGAATTAAAAGCCTCCTTAAGAAAGAAAAAAGCTGAAGAAATGAAAAGATACAGACAGAGAAAAAAGATGAAAACAACATGTTCTTCTGAAGATCCTGGTGTTAAAAAGAGTAAGAAACCGGCTCTGGAAGAAAAAAAGAAAAAAGCTGTGAAGCGAACACAAGCCTGGAGAATGCGAATTAAACTTAAGTCTCCTACAATTCCAATTGTTAACACAGTTGATGAAAATGACAGTCATGGAGAAAGCAGACAGAACAAAAGTTACTTATCCCGTGCAACAGTATACAGACGAGCGCAAATGGTGAAAGGCATTCTGCCTAGGACACCAAAGAAGAAAGCCGCCATTTTAAAGAAGCTTATTGAGTCACCTTCAACATCCAAAGTACTTTCTGACCAAGGAGTAACAATGACACCAGCTTGTAAGAAGAAACTTGAAGTAGCAGATGCTATAGTGAATTCCTTGAAAGAAAGTATTTCCGAAGTAAACATTGGTGTTCGAAAAGACAGAGAAAAGAAACATGCATATGATGTAATACGTGAATCAGTACTAAGGAAATACAAAAAGATCACAGTTAGTAAATATTTCAATGTGTCTTACAAGACAAGGAAGATGAGAAATGAATGGTGGAAAAAGAAACAGAGAAAAACAAGATGTGATGTGATAAGTGATCATGTGAAACAATCAGTGAAAGAGTTCTACCTGAGTGCTGAAATTAGCAGAGAAGTGCCATCCAAACGTGATGTTGTTAGAATCAAAACTCAGACTGGTATGAAAGAAACATTACAGAAACATGTGATGACAATGACACTAGAAGAAGCACACAAGTTATACAAAACAAGAAACCCCAATCATAAAATAGGACTTACATCATTCAGCAAACTAAAACCAGTTAATGTAAAGAAAGTGTCCGAGACAAGCAGACGGTCATGCCTGTGCCAGACTTGTTGTAATGTAGCCCTGAAAGTAGAAGCACTTACAACATTGAAACGAGTTGTAAAAGAGACTGACATGACAGAAGACATTAAGATTGATAAGAAGAGTCTGAGTGATGCAACATTCTGCAGCTATGAACAAGAGCCATCTTTAAAATGTGTGTCAAGAAATTGTGAAAAATGTGGAGTACAAGGCCTTCAAAAGTATTTGGCGACTATGGAAGAAAAGAACAGAGATGGGATGGTGTCATGGTATCAATGGGAAAGCATTGAAATAAAGAAATATGACAAAGTAAAGCGCTGCGTTTCTTGTGTGCCCAAAGAAGCTGATTTCAAAGTGTTTTTGACAGCTTTAGAGAAAGACATGACGGTGTACCCAGAGCATGCATTTAGAGCATCCTGGCAACAGAAACAAATGGGTGTATGTGTAGAGAAATTAACAAAGGGATCTGTAGCCATGGTAATGGATTTCAGTGAGAACTATGCATGTGTCTTCCAAAGTGAAGTGCAGTCAGGGTTCTTTGATAGAAACCAGGTAACTGTACATCCAATGATGTGCTACTATAAAGAAAGTCTTGATGACAAAGATGTTACAGTAAAACATGCCATCATTGGAATAAGTGAAGAAACCAAACATGATGCGGATTTAGCAATTGTCTTCGAGAATCAAGCCATTAAATCACTAGAAAGCAGAGGGGTGAAGATTGGTGAACTCCACGAGTGGACTGATGGGTGTGCAGCCCAGTACAAGGGAAAAAAGGCGTTTGCTGATATCAGTCTCAGAAAGCAGCCCAAAATTACTCGAAACTACTTTGAAACGTCTCATGGAAAGAATGTCTGTGATGGGTTGGGTGCAACTGTAAAGAATGCTTGTTATCGTGCTGTAATAAGTAACAGGAAAGTTCTTGGTAATGCTGAAGACGTTTACCAATTTTGTCAAGAAACTCTGAATATGGAAGTAGTGGACACTGTAAAAAGCACTCTGTCGAGAAGAGAATTTGTATTTGTTGAAAATGTGAATAGAAACCGACCAGAAACAAATGTTCAAACATTAACTGGAACACGGAAGCTGCACTCTGTTAAGTCTGTTGGTAAAGACTATGAGCTGAACTCAAGGAAACTTAGTTGTTACTGTGATGCTTGTGTGAATGGTGTAACATCAAAATGTGAGAATGTAGACATAGTTAATAAGTGGGAGAAAAGAAACCTTGATGTTATTAGTAAAGTCCAAGAAAAACTAAATGTAAAGAAGAAACAACCATCTAACAAGGAGCAGCCTAAAGCAACCTGCAAAGAACAAACAAAAGGACAGAAACAAATAACTTTGAAAAGAAAATCGGAGACCAAGCAACCAAAAGCCAAGAGGAGAAAAATAGAAGAGACAGCAGCAACAACATCCCAACAAGATACAGCCTTTCAACCTGGTGATTTTGTTACCGTTGGGCTCAAACCGAGAAAAGGACCCATAAGTGTTTACGTTGCTGAAATCACAAGTAAATCTGAAACAGAATATGGGCTTAAATATATGAAGAAAGCTGGAAACGCATATGTGTGGCCTGAGAAGTCAGACATTTCTCAGGAGCCAACAGAACATATCATTTCAAAGCTAGAAGCTCCTGAACTTGTCAGTGAAAGAGGTCATTTTAAATTCAATACACAGGAACTCAGCAAAGTTAAAGTTAATCTGTTGAAAATACACAAACATGTGTATTTCAAATAGAAAATGTTGAGCATGTGTTGGTTCTTACAATGTGTAGAGTCCGTAACCGTAGTGCAGTCTATTTCTATCTCATACAAAAAATATGTTCTATTGATATAAACAGCAGAAATTGACTATACTTGATAGGAAAAGTGTTTATTTTAGAAAAAGAATGTGCTTGGGGCACTTGGTTCTACAAACTTTAACAATTACAGTTAAAGTTGTGTGATCATTTTTGTCAATTTTTAGAGTTCATCGCAACTGGGATGAAATATGTTTTTTTTTATGCTTATCTCAAGCAGAGATTTTATGCATTTGTTTGTTAACATTCTAATTGTTAGTTTTCTGTGTTAACCTGAATAATACAGACTTGTTTCCATTAAAATCTTTTTTGTTATATGCCTGTTGTAGTGTCTGTAACCTTACACTGACCTGTATGTAAAAGTCGCCAAAAAAATAAATTTATAAAAGCGACTCTAGGAAAACAATTATCATTTCCAATGACTGAAACTTTAAACTAAAAATGGACAAAATTTCATGGCCCTGCATGGAAGTTCATTTTTCCACCTTGGTGAGACACTTAGGTGGACAAATACCGTGTTTTAGCCGTAAGTTACACTTCCGGTGAAAGAATTATGTAAAAAATCAGAAACTAAACCTACATTTCATTGATAGGATAATAAATATAAAAAGTTACTTTAACATATCATTTAAGTTTTTGATAAATAAGCACATTAAAAATAACGTTCAAACCAAAACTGTGATTAGAGATTAACAAAAATGGCGGACGGGATTTTCCAAACGCCGACGCATGCGCATTGGTTCCCCTTTACGTTCGGAGATTGCTCCAATGATAGGTTGAACACGACCAAATTATTCGTTTTGCTAATGGTAAGAAAGATATGGTTTACATGTACACTAAACATGTTATGCTTAAATCATAATTCATAAGATCTTTCCGCGCCATAGGTAGCACCTAATTTCATATTATAGCTATATGCTTTCTTTTGGCAGTCACAATCATCAGTTCATCTAATGAAGTTAATATAAGATACATTATAATCATAATTAAATTCTAAACTTACCAGTTCGTGGAACTAAATGTACCAATAATAACATTATCTTCTTCAAACACACATACTGTCAAACTCTCTCTCTGCTGTAACTTCTGCAAAATATAATAAACACAATGTGCAAAGTGATAGGAATGAAATGTGAGATTAAGTTGATAGAGAGCTAGATTAACTGCTTTTTCTGAAAACAATTCTTAAAAGTTCCAAATCACGAAAACTGATGACATTTCAAATCAGACCACAATCATTACTTAATTAAAAACAAATCTATGACATACACTCTTTAAAACACTAATTTAAACCAAATGCAACTCAAAATAATACTGACCAACTATCAATAATCCATATTTCCAATAAATTAAGAACACTTTGAACATTTTTACAAACAAAGCCGCTTAAACATAGACAAAACTAGTGATATTGCGGGAAACCAAGGGAAACAACTTAAACAACAAAAAATATATCAAGACACCTGAATTATCAACACTGTTACACATCATGAAATCCAAATAAGAATTCCAAAACAGAATACATTCAGTTCAAATAATATTGGTAAGTTTTCTGTACCTACTTTTAGAAAATGATGAGATCAGCTTTCACATACAAAAATAGCGTCGAAAACTTTGTTTTGGTACGAACTACTTCCTTACTCAAAGTTAACGCGAATGAATACTAATGATATTTTTTACTGATTATATCCTGAAAACATGCAAATAATATACGATAGAAATAACACAATCAACAAGAGCTGTCCGTAAGACAGCGCGCTCGACTTTTTTAGTGCTTGCCTATAATACAAAACATTGACAGTTAAGGGCCATAATTCAAATAAAATCTTTGACAGAATTACCTTCTCCTGGACATGTTTGGGAATCATGATTGTAAACAAGTATTCCAACTTTCAAATTAATATCTCAAACAGTTCAGTCAAAAAGTGGACTGGTACTAAAAACTTAACCAAGATTCTAAGTCGATAAAAGGCCTTAATTTTTAAAACAAATCCTTGACAGAGTTACCTTCTCTTGCGTACAGATGGGGGTATGATGTGAAATAGCATTAAAAGTTTCAAAGCAATATCTCAAAGGGTTAAGGCAATAAGTGGATTTTACCCATATTCAATGTATTTTCTAAGTCAAAAAGGGGCATAATTCTGTCAAAAACCTTGACAGAGTTATGTCCTTCTTGTCTGTTGATGAAGGTCGTGATGGTAAACAAGTATGGTCAGTTTCAAAGCAATACCTCCAATGGTTTTGAAATAAAGTGAGGTGGTACAAAAAACTTAACCAAGCTCAATACACTTTCTAAGTCAAAAAAGGGCCATAATTCTGTCAAAAACCTTGACAGAGTTATGTACTCTTGTCTGTAGATGGAGGTTATGATGGTGAACAAGTATGGTAAGTTTCAAAGCCATACTTGTAATACTTCTGAAATAAAGTGGGGTGGTACGAAAAACTTAACCAAGGTGTGACGCCAACGCCGACGCTAACGCCGACGCCGACGCCGGGGCGAGTAGGATAGCTCCCCTTTTCATAGAAAAGTCGAGCTAAAAATGAACTACTGACAATTCAAAATCTTATCACTTGTGTGTGACAAGAAAATCTGTGTAGAACTACTTTGCGTTGTTAGGTACCCATTCTTATATTGAAATCCCGCAAATTGTGATAGAACTGTATTCACTGCTAACGCAGCGAATACAAAAATCTTCTTTTAAAGAACCCAAAGAGCTAGAGCTAAGATATTTAGCATGAAACATCTTCTAATGGGTATCTACCATGTTTGTTCAAATAAAAGCCCTGGGGTAAAAATTGGCCCCGCCCCAGGGGGTCATTGATTTTCCTATATGCATATAGTAAAAACTTAAAAATCTTCTTTTAAAGAACCCAAAGAGCTAGAGCTACGATATTTAGCAATGGATGTCTACCAAGTTTGTTCAAATAAGAGCCTTGTGGTCAAAATTGGCCCTGCCCGGGGGGACATTGATTTTCCTTATATGTGTATAGCAAAAACTTAAAAATCTTCTTGGAAAAATCCGAATAGCTAGAGTTTAGATATTAAGCATGAAACATCTTCTAGTAAGTGTCTACAAAGAGTGAAAGATTGTTCAAATAAAAGCCCTGGGGTCAAAACTGGCCCTGCCCCAGGGGTGTCATTGTTTTTAAATATATGTGTAAAGAAAATCTTAAAAAATCTTCGTTTAAAAAACCTAACGAGCTAGACCTTAGATGTTTAGCATGAAACATCTTCTAATGGATGTCTACCAAGTTTGTTCAAATAAAAGCCCTGGGGTCAAAACTGACCCCGCTCCGGGGGGCCTTTATACAGGTGAGCGACTTTAGGGCCATCATAGCCCACTTGTTTGATTATTTTCTTTAAACGTCCTTTAAAATGTATACTTAGTCAAAATAACTAAAATAATTAGGGGGTCACAGACTCATTTTTTTTGTAACATGGGATTTATTTCCCCCCACCCCTTTGGATAACATTCACGCTATCACGGGGCATTTGTTGTTTTGATGTTATTAGAACGATTTCCTGTTTCAAAATCCTTCTATTAACGGCACTTTACGCCATTATGACCACTGCAGAAAATATATATTGAATACGGAATTCCGTATATTATAGATATAGACAGGTAAAAATAAGTGAAATTTGAATACTTAGATGTACGGGACCGTATATAATGCAATACTAATATACCGTGATCTGTACCCTCGTAATATGCAGGAACTTTGAATGAAGTTGGTATTTACTAAAATACGTATTCTTTTTAATTACACGGTTGGATATTACCAAAATATGTTGTTGTTTTTTATTGGAATGAAGTCTTTGCACTGTGTGCATTTTCACAGCTCTGACTAAATCATTGCAGGCTGCAAAAATGAATAAACAAAAGTTATATTCATATTTTAAGTTTTAATAAAACTTATAAGCTGTATTTTAACTGCAAAAATATCCTGTTACTAATTATAGTTAAGTTGCAATTATTAAACAGTCCGAGTTTAATCTAGGTGACAAGCTCACACATAAACTACCTTGGAAATTTACTGATATCAAAGAAACTTTGAAGGTAAAATGTGTGCAAAAGTGCTGGAATTTCATCATTGAGATATTTAAGCTACATTTGTACATGATTTTAACATGACATATGTTCCTTTGATGTTAGCTGTCATAACAAGAGGGAGCGATTATTCAATGCATATTGATTTGGGAGAATTTTTTTTTAGATATTTTACTTTTTGACAACAACTGTGAGCTACTTGTGTGCAAAATATAATAAAAAAATGCTTGATTTCAGGAAATGAAAGATGAACTGACACAGTAATTTGACAATTTTTATCAATGTTTTAATTAAATTAACTCATTGTTCCTCATTGTCACATCAGCATATTCAAATATTTCATTGTTTTCATCATAGGTTAATCTTACAATACACATGTCAAAATCTTTAAAAAAAACAATTTTACTATAATGCATGTAAATTGAATTATACAAGAGAATATTATCCTATATTTTTCAATAAACAAAAAAATCAAAGAATATGCAAACTTTCATAAAGTAAAACTGAAACATTTTATTGACCTTGATTTAAAGACTCCCTGTCATATGTGACCTTTTTAGCTCGACTATTCGAAGAATAAGGAGAGCTATTGCAGTTGCGTCGGCGTCCACGTCCGCATCGGCATTGGTTAAAATTTTTTGTAAAGTCAAATATTTCAATTATTGCTCGAGATATTCAATTAAAACTTACAATACTTATTTATAGTAACTATGTACATCAGATTGACAAGTTGGATTACTCTGCCTACAATATTTACAGAATTATGCCCCTTTTTAACTTAGAAATTTTGGTTAAAGGGCTTAAGAACTATCAAAGATATTTACTTGAAACTTTACACATGTACTTAGGGTCATAATTGAAGGTTAATTGAAGGTCACATCTCAAGATCCATTACTCTGCCATGTATTTTGACTGAATTATGCTCCCTTGTGTACTAAAAAAAATCTCCTTTTTCTTGGATAAGTTTTACATGCAAGTTTTGCATATCTCTGAAACTATTAAGCATTAAGGTCACTGACCAAGATCAATTAATTCTTGCATTTAGGCTGATTTTTCTCCCCTTTTGAACTTTATATTTAGATCAACATTATTATGTGCAATAATTATTACAGAACATTATTTCATGCTTTCCAGTGTTTTATTGTAATATATCAGATGATTATATTCTGATAAACCACTAGTGAAATTTATAAAATATAATTTTCACTGTAGCCAGACTATATCTGAATGCGGATGAACAGAAAATCATAACTAAATGGAATAACAGGCAGAAATAAATGCCGTCATACGTAAATTTTGCTTCTTTAGGAAAAGAAAGTCAATGTCATCATACATCATGTTAGAAATTTAACAAAATTAGAGAAATTTAACGGAACTAGATTTCAAAACTAAATATGCCCGTCACAAAGGAATCCCCAAAGACTTACGCCGGCAAAATCCAGTAAAAAATGCCTAAAAACACTTAAAAAGCATAAAATAAAAAGAAAATTTATTTGTTTTACATATAACATTGAAATATGTTTCATTCGTGAACACCAGCTATTATATTTTCACTTGTGGCTACGCCACTCGTGAAAATATTGCATCTGGTGTTCACTCAGTGAAATTATATTTCAATCTTACATGCAAAACAAACAAATATCCTCTATATCATTATCATTTCCAAAGGTATTTTTCTCTCAATACATTTCCTTTTCTAACATAACTGCCCATTCAAACTCCAACACGTACATTACAAAACTGACTTAATCCTTGATTTTTAAAGGATTTTTTTGCATATATTTTTATAAACAAAAATAAGGGTTCCTGATAATTTAATCTCTTTACACATTTTTGTTCACAGGTAGAGGCCTTTTAATATGCCCTAAAGAATTTCATATTAGTTATACCCCCTGGCGTCCGTCCATCTGTCTGTCTATCCACACTTACAGGACAGTAATTATGTGGCTAGAGGGACAATAGGTAACTGTTCTTTCTCTTTGATGTCATTCATTCCGTAATGCTTTTATGTGGCTATTTTCTTTTGTGTGGCTAAAAAGAACAATAGAGAGAACAATAGAGTAGCCACATTATTACTCTCCTGTTAGAACGTCCGTCCGTCCGTTAGCAATTTGGTTTCCGGAGCATAACTTAAGTTCCATTTGGCCCACAATATTCAAACTTCATAGGATGATTGTCCATATTGGGTAGAAGACCCCTATTGATTTTGGGGTCACAAGGTCAAAGGTCACTATCACCTTAAAACTGAAAACAGTTTCCGGAGCATAACTTAAGTTCCAATTGGCCCACAGTGTTCAAACTTCATAGGGTGATTGTCCATATTGGTTAGAAGACCTCTAATGATTTTGGGGTCACAAGGTCAAAGGTCACTTTCAATATAAACCTGAAAACAGTTTCCGGAGCATAACTTAAGGTCTTTTTTTGCCCACAATATTCAAACTTCATAGGATGATTGTCCATATTGGGTAGAATACCCCTTTTGATTTTGGGGTCACAAGGTCAAGGTCACTATTATTTAAAAACTGAAAACAGTTTCCAGAACATAACTTAATTTCTATTTGGACCATAGTGTTGAAACTTCATAGGATGATTGTCCATATTGGGTAGAACACCCCTATTGATTTTGGGGTCACAAGGTCAAAGTTCAAGGTCGCTATTACCTCAAAACTGAAAACAGTTTCCAGAGCATAACTTAAGTTCCATTTGGCCCACAATATTCAAAATTTTATAGGAGGATTGCTATTTGAATGAGGTAATACTTTATTTTATTTATGTAATGTCTTACAAATGCTTCATCCTTACTAGAAAAAAAACCTTTCGGGCATATAATGCTCCGCCTAGCGGTGCTCTTGTTTATAATTAACATGTACTCTTTTGTGTACTGTTGCTATCATAATGATTAACATCGTTACACATTTCAATTTGACCGAAAGTGTACTTTGTTCAAAAGTGTTTTTGCTTTGTTCAAATGTTTATTTGCTTTTATGATATTCAGATTCTTATTGGTAACTTAAGCTTATGACAGCATCTTCCATTTTGTATATTCATAAATACTAATAAAAAGTACCAGTTGTTTCATATATAACTGAATCTTTTTAAATAAATATTTCAATTTTCACTTGCAGTACTTCAAAATTCTTTTCAAAGTGTTGTTCATATATAATAATATTCTGATAGATATAAAATGCGTTTCCACTAAACCAGCGCCAGCGGGGCTAGCCCAGCGCACAGGTAGAGTGCTGGTCTGTCAAAAGATAGACCTGTATTCAATCCCTGTCCTTTCCATTAATCCAATGCCATTATTTTGATAACTGTTCTAATTGTTGAGCATGCTGTCATTGGACAGCTCTGATTTGCTATTTCCAAATTTATGCCCCTTTTTATACTTAATGAAACTCATGGTTAACTTTTTGCTTGTGAGCTGGTATCTCCCTAACTACTGAAGGGAATGAAAACATTTTCACTGTGATTTTTTAACATGATTGGCACAGGTCCCATAACTCTGATTTACTTATTTTCATATTTATGCCCCTTTTAATACACAATGAAACTTCCTTGTGACAACTCTTTCGGAAAGTCACATGTCAAGTTTTACTATATATTATAAAAAAAGTATAAAAAAGTATTAATACAGCATTTCTTGTGTTTCCTCATTTAAGTTCTTATTTTCCTTTTTCAGAGATGTCGGAGATCATTGAACCATCTTGTGAAGAAATTGAAAGGCCTTTGTTTCCTCAGCTTATAGTAGTTGATAAGGTGAAAAGAAGTATTAAAGGCAGTCTCTCAAAATAAGAAACATTGCTGTACATACTGTGAGAAGTTATATCCAAACATTGTAAGACATTTAAGTCTGAAACACAAAAACAAGATAGCAGTAGGAAAAATCCTTGGAGGCACCAGAAGTCATGTAATCAAAAGAATCATTGACAGGTTATGAAACAAGACCTATAGCTGGTGGAAATAAATTGTTACCTGTAACATGCAGTAATCAAGCTTTTCATCACAACATAATTCTTAACATAAAAGAATAGCAATCCTTTCAGATCAGACTTTCTTGCATCTCAGACAGGATTATCTATTGTTTACACCGTTGCTAGAAAACTCTGTCTTAACCCAACAAGTCATGTGCTTCAAATGACGTCATTGATGAGCGCCTCTTATGAATGAATCGCGTTCTTAGGATGACGTCATTTTTCTGTTATGAATGAAGTTGTATGTTCATACAATACTATAAGAAAAAAGTGCGTAATGATAATATCAGTTTTCATTATTTCTGTTCCGAAAATAATTGACATGTTATATGCAAGAAAAAGAATCAAACACCACGGGAATATCTAGCTCTCGGGTAACTGTTTAGCGGAAACTCGGCAGAGCCTCGTTACCGCTGTAAACAGTTACTCTCGAGCTAGATATTCCGGTCTGTACCGGCAGCCGGTGTAAGATTCTTATAATACAAGACTTTGGACTCAACATGTACAATGATCAAGGGCACCGAAAGCACAAACATGTATATATATCACAGAAAATGAGGGAATTAGGCAGATTGCAGATTACAGGAAAGAAAATATCTTAATGTCAATAGAAGACTGCATGAAGAAAGAAAACTGGGACCTCTTTATTTTGTCAGTAAAAGAAGTGTCTGAATTCAATCCTGAAACTAAAAACTTTGGTATTCCATCATCAGCCCTAAAGCTAGGACATTCATTGAAAACTTGTGCTGAAGACATGTATTTTTAAGGCATTGAAAGTTGAAGATACAGTCAAACAAGAAGTTGCTAAGACCTTCTTAGAGATGTACAAGCTTCGCTGGAATAAAATGATTTCTGGAAAGGCTTTGACAACCTTGGATACAATTAAATACAATCGTCTAAAGTTCCTGCCACTTATGGAAGACGTTGCCAAGTTAAATAACTATATTAATGAAAAGTGTAAGTGTGCTTTGTCAGAGTCTCAAACTTCTGATGTATACCGTGAATTCTGTCAATTGTGTCTAGCTCAAATTATTGTATTCAATAGAAAGCGTAGTGGTGAAGCGCACGACTTACACTATACCCCCGTTCCCCCTCTACAACCAAAACCCTTAAAACATCATCCAAACACCATAAGAATTGACAAAAATAAATTTTATGAAAAAAAATTTTTTATGACTAAAATATTATAGTCATCAAAATATTTTTTTCATAAAATTTATTTTTGTCAATACATATGATGTTTGGATGATGTGTAAGGGTTTTGGGTTGTAGAGGGGCAACAGGGTTAAAGTGTAAGTCGTGGCCACACAATGTTTTCCTGTGGTTAGAACTTACTTTATAATAATCGTGAGGTTTATATACTTTTTTTTTATAATACTGCACATTTGTAACGTGGCTTTTCATTGGATAAACGTGATGTTTATATAGTGTTATATACATGGCTGCTGTCGATTTATAAAGAAGTCTCGCTTTATTCCTTTGAAAATGATGCTTGCTGTATTATAAATTTGTTAATTTTCTAAGAATCTAATTTTTTCTCAAAAAAGAGGAAGTTTGCTGTTTTATAAATTTGTTATTAAAATTCCTGACAGGTGATATGAACGTATATAACTGTTGTTTGCAACAAAACCCTGACCAAGAGGCTTTGGTTATATATCCAATCAGCTGTTTATATAGGGCCATATAACCTGTCAAAAATCTTTAGGGCCATATAACCTGTCAAAAATCTTTATAACTATTAATATAAATGTCAGTTTTAAACCAGATTACTGAGGCATGTTCTTCTTTTCTTGTCTCTTTTTGTAGATATGAATCGTGTCACGACAAAACCAACATAATGGGTTTGCGACCAGCATGGATCCAGACCAGCCTGCGCATCCGCGCAGTCTGATCAGGATCCATGCTGTTCGCTATCAGTTTCTCTACTTGTTATAGGATTTGTACGCGAACAGCATGGATGCTGATTAGACTGCGCGGATGTGCAGGCTGGTCTGGATCCATGCTGGTCGCAAACCCATTATGTTTTTTTTGTCATGACGCGGCTCATATAATTTTCTATGATATATTGTGCAACCATTGATTGCAGGTAAAAAAACTCACCAAGCGCACAGCTGTTCTACGTGCAAACAGTGAACAGGTGTGTCTATAATTTAAGTCAAAATTCAACCAATTAAAACATTGCAATGATATTAAATTACAGCATGTGAAAATTGCAAAAAATTTAACTTAGATGTTTTTACTGTTGATCAAAACATGTATTTATCATCTAGTTTCATATAAATGTAAAAGGCTGTGTTGAAATTTCATCTTTTGATGACATTTTATTTCAAAAACACCCAAACTACAATGTGTGGGATAGTATCTTTAAACTTCATTATAAACATAAAGTTTTATGGGGTGGGGCATTTAGATTGACACTTGTCTGTCCATTCTCAGCTCAAAGTATTTGACCAAGAGTCATAAAACTCTACAGGAATGTTAGTCAGCATGTGTAGTTGTGAACAAAGTCCTGGGGTTTTGCCTGTGGATTTTTCTCAGTTATTGCCTTTGACATAGTATAAATTTGCATTTTTCCACTTGTTCATGCAAAGCTCAAAAGTATTTGATCTGTAATACTGATAATTTACAAGAATGTTAGTCAGCATGTGTAGATGTGTGCCTTAATTTAGGTTTGCTTGTGGATTTATTCAGTATTTGTAGAGTTTTTGCCCTTGACTTAGTAAAAAGAGTTTCAATTTGTGTTGCATGTACTATTACACTCTAGATTTTAGGGTAATTTTATTTACCATTACAACTAGTGTAATATCTATATATTTCATTTTGGTAATTTGAATATTACTATTTTTCTTAAATTCTTTTGCTTTAAATATTTTTCAGTTTTATAATTTCCATTTCATTAATTGTAAAAATATTTGGTACTTAATTTTTCAAACTTGCCAAATTTACTTTACTATAAAAACTTAGTAAAAGAAGCCATCAATTCAGCTTGGGTTATTATTGTCTCTAAAAATGTATTGTGCTGGCTTAAATTCTATAAGTGTTAAAACAGCCAAATCCTTAACAATGTAGTTTTATCAGCTCTTACCAGTATGGCATATCTTAGTAAGCAGTGTCAATCCCTTAAGCAAAATACCAGACCTTAATTGATTATAACACAAAGATAGGTATGAAACCCTAGTTCCTGTGTTTGTACTGCAATAATCCTTCCTGGGAAAAAGAAAGCTGATTTTTATGCCAAAAGACAGATCTGAAGTCATTCTTACTTTGGACTTCAGACATTAAAAGTGAACAACTGTTTAAAACTGTCTTTTTCATCTTTTCCAGGTATGTGATATTTTTGTATTTTTCT